CTCTCTTCTCCTTTCAATCTAATGAAGCCATTATTGGTGAAAGCAAGTGCCTGGCGTCTTGCTCTGTGGAGCAGGGCTGGCATGGGGAGCAGATGAAAGAAGGAAGGGGGCTCTCTTAGCTCGTCCTCCTGCCAATTCAACAGGCCGGAGAGGTGAGACCAATACAGTCCTGCTTGACAGAGGAAGCCAGAGTCCCTGGAGTGGGATGAGCATGACAGTGCCAGGCGAAAACAGATTGTTCCTCAGTGTGATTAGAGATGGAGTCTCCCTCTTTTCCTCTCTGTCTCTGTCTCTTTCACCATATCATTTCAGAATTTCAGAACTGTAAGAAACGTTTGTCTAAGCAATAATCCAACTCTCTCTCTCTCTCTCTCTCTCTCTCTCTCTCTCTCTCTCTCTCTCTCTCTTTCTCTCATCTTTATTTTTCCATTACTGGTGATAGAACCTAGAGCCATCACATTGAGGTAGGTGCCGCAGCCATTTAATTTTTTTTTTTTTTAATTTTGAGACAGGATCTAGTTAAGACAGGATCTAGTTAAGTTGCTCACATGGGGCTTGAACTTGTGATTCTCCTGTTTCAGCCTTCCAGAGTGCTGAGATTGTAGGACTGTGCCACCAAGCCCCATTTAACTTTTTGTTTTGTTTTGATGCAAGGTCTCACTATGTAGTCCAGGCTGGCCTTGAACTTACTATGTAGTCACATTGGCCTCAAACTCAGTGATTCTCCCATCTCAGTCTCCCTAGTGCTGGTATTATAGGAATGTGCCACTACATCTGGCTTTGTTTTATTTTTATTTTTTTATTTTTTTGGTACCAGAGATTGAACTCAAGACCTTGTACTTTCCAGGCAGGCACTTATACTACTTATGCCACAGTTATCTCCTTGGCCCTTCACTTTATTTTTAAGGCATAAAATTGGATGTTTTTTCTTGCAATAACAAAACAAGTTAACAGACTCGACTTGCATATACTAAACATTTTATGTAATTATGTGTTTATTGTCTGTCTCCTCCAGAGCTTGAGCTCTGCAAGGGCAGCAATTTTAGCTCTTTAATTTTTTTTAATTTTTTTTTTTTTTAAACTGAGAATTGAGCTGTTTGCCTTTGTGCTGAGCTATATCCTCAGTCCCTTTATAATCTTTGATTTCCTGAAGCAGAGCTCAAATTTTTGATCCTCCTGTCTCTGCCACTTGGAGTTGTGGGATTTTGTGCACCGTCATGGCCAATTTAGCTGATATTTTCATTTACATACCCCAGTGCTTCAAACACGGACACCTGACACATAGCAGATACTCAATATATATTGCTTATGTGAGTGGATGAATGAAGAAAGGAATGAACAGAAACACTGCACACTACTCTCTTCCTGTTGAATCCCAGATATATTACTACATTGCAAAGGAAACAGGTAATAAATCATTTTTCAGACTATTTCACTGTAATTTTTAAAAATTATTTGTTTGTTCGTTTGGTACGGCTATGCAGCTTGGACTCATGGTGCTCCTGTCTCAGCCTCCCCAGTGCTGGGATTACAGGCATGTGCCACCACCCCTGGGGTTCTGGTGCTGGCATAGCATGCGTGCGGTACTGAGGATCAAACCTGGGTCCTTCAGCTTACCATGCAGGTGCTTAGACTACCAGCCTATCTCCCCAGACCCTGTAATTTTTTTTTTTTTTTGGCGTAACCGGGGATTGAACTCAGGCCCTTGCACTTGCCAGAGAAGCACTTATTCCACTGAGCCATCTCCCCAGCAGCCCCTGTAATTTTTTTTTAAATGGTAAGAGGCATCACATCCCATGGAATTGATCATTTGAGGAACACATCGTGGGGGATAGTTTTCTCAAGTGCACACCATTATTCAGGTTAGCAGATGGTCACATATTCAGAACACCACCTTGATCTCTACCATAGAATTTTCTAAATACTTCTGTAATTGGAGCTAGGTGAATGACTTCCAAGAAGGGGGCCTGCTTTGTCTTTGGTCAAGTCTTGGATTTAGAAAGCCGAGGAGTTACAGAGAGGCCAATCAGTGGAAATGAGAGGCTATAGCCATGGCCCAGAAAGGAGAAACACAACCATGGGTCCTGTTATGGTTTGTGTCTAGTTGTCTCCCCCGAAGCCTCATGCCTTATAATAAAGGAAAAAAATTATTTTCAGAACCGGGGATTGAACTCAGGACCTTGTGCTTGCCAGGCAAGCACTTATTCAACTGAGCCATCTCCCCGGCCCCAAGAAGAAAAATTTTTTAGGTTTTTTTGTTGTTGTTTTTTTGTTTTTTTGTTTTTTTTTTTTTTTTTGAGACAGAGTTTCACTACACAGTTTAGACTGGCTATGAACTCACTATGTAGCCAACACTTCGTTGGAATTCACAGTGATCCTCCTGCCTCAGCCTCTCAAGTGCTGGGATTAATATGTATGCACCACCACAACGAATAATAAGAAAACAATTTGAAGATTATTGGTAGAGATATTAGTTTTTCTCCTACATTGGTATTTTTGTTTGCTTGTTTGTTTATTTTTCTTTCTTTTTTGTTTGAGACAAGTTCTTACTCTGTAGTTCAGGCTGACCTAGAACTCCCAGTGACTTCCCTATTTCAGCCTCCTTAGTGCTGGGATTACAGGCATTATCCACTACACCCAGATACACTGGTGTTGTTTGACTGAAAAATTTTATCTCCTCTTTCCGCACCCTTATAGTCACGTGACTAATTCTATACATTTTTCTCAAGGGAGCTTGAGATATTTGCACTACTCTGACAGAAACATGCCCTCTCTTCAGCTTTCATGAAAATCTCTTCACTTTTTTCAAATGTGTCAGACCCACTGGAGAGGTTCAAGAGAATCGAGTTTTCTGTGGAAGACTTGGAGTGGGACGAGAAGAAATCCTCAAAGCTGAGAGTTGGGAGCAAGGACGCTGTGGCTTATTTCAGCACCAAGGACAGCACAACAACGGCTCTCAGCACCCTGGACAGCGAAGACCGTCACGCTTACCCAGGAACCCCAGCAGCTCTTAATCAAGAACCAGGCGAAACCAGAGCCCTCAGCCTTTTTATTTTCATCAGCGGACCTCAGTCACCTGCTCCTCAAACGTTGGAACACAAGTCCAGGAAACAAACATGTTTTGAGAGAGATACCAACAGGAGAGATAAGACTCTTAAGTGGGTGGGGTACTCGGAAAAGTATTGAAAGGTCTAAATTATAGTTCTCAAGTGGCTGTGGGGCACTGCAAATTATATATATATTGAGTTGCAAAGGAGATCACTGTTGTCATTTTTATGCCTCAAATATCTTTTTAAAAAAATTCCTCAAATTTCTACCTGCATTGCTTATTCTCAAGTTTTAACCTCGTGAAGAACACTTCATAGTAAATAATCTCTCCACAGTCCCTAGCTTTCCTTCCCATCTTTCTTTCTCTTCCTCCACTCATCCTCTTTTTCTCTTTCCCAAATACACACGTGCTCACGCGTGGATACAAACACACGTATACTTAGTGTAAGAACCACAAGAGGTCCTGCACACTGTGGAGAAGACTGAATTCAGAGCAAACGGATGCCCCCGAAAGCAGGCTCTGTCCCTTTAAATGGGTTGTAACAGTGGGGGAGGGGAACTGGCCGGAGCTGGCATTGTCCAGTTTGAACTGAGCACCGGAAGTGAAGGGGCAGGGCCAGGGCCATGCACTGAGCCCCGGGCCATTGTCCATCTCCGACCAGGGCAGTAGCCACCCCCAGCCCACCTTCATTATCTCCTAAAAGGGAGGCTATCTCTTCAAATAAGGAGACCCCCTAGTTCCAGTTCCTCCATCAACCCCGCTCTAGGGAGAGTAACACACTTTAGAAGGATGACTGAGACAAGGAGGGTCTGGGAATCGAAGTGTCGGGAGCGCAGGAGGAAGTGTCTTCACTCATCAACCCACCGGGTCTCCCAGCACTGGATGGGACAGAGTGGGGGTGGGGATAGGATGAGAGGGGCAACTGGCAAGACAGGACACACTCCCGGCCTCTTTGGGTTTCTCCTGCTCTCCCGGGGGGCTTTACCTGTGCTCAACTTCAGACACAGATTTGGAAAGAAGTGCTCTTTATGCTGATCAATTAGAAGCACTTTCTCCGTTCCTGATGGGGGAGACCCAGAAAAACTCAGAAACTCCGGGAGACAGAGACATTCAGTTGTAATCAGAGGCAGGCAGACTTCCAGAGGCAGCAGCGCCTTGGTCTGGATAGATCAGCCGGGCCGAGTCTCCAATCTCTAGCTCCCCCATCTCCGGCTTCCTGGTGTCCAGAACACCAGGTCTATCTAAGCGCACGGGGGTAGGAGGTGAGAGCGGGTCAGCGCCAAGCAGCCGGGTCAGATCAGAGGCCTGAGGGGGAAGGGGGGAGGGGTGATGAAGGACTGGGGGAGGGGGAGGGCTCATCCATTTCTCCCTTGACAGGTGGTTTGTGTCTCTGATTGGCCAGCGCCACCAGGCTCACACCTCCCTCCCCCAACTCTCTGGAATGTATAATTATCTGCATGGGGGGTGGGGGTGGTGTGTGTGTGCAGTCACGTGATTTTAAAACTACCCCCCCATGTCCCCCACCTGTATCAGCTTTAAGGATCCCCACTGAGTCCTTAAAGTGAGTGATCCCAAATTCCGGGGTACCCAAGACTTCTGGGGCAGACGACTCCCATTTCCAGATGTGTGTATGTAGAGGGGGTGTCAAACCTCAAGGTCCTGAGAAGGGACACCCCAGAGGTGTCAGAGACCGGAGCGATGGGGGAGGGCCGAAGCGGGAGGGAAAGGGAGGGGAAAGGAGAGAGGGGGAGGGGAGGGGGCTGCCCGCGGGGGGTTGGGTCATTGTCTTTTAGAATTTGGGAGCCTTTGAAAAGCCGTGGGCCCTCCCACCGCTATTGTGCAGAGGAAGATGTAGCAGCCTCTTCTCCGAACCACCCCTTTGCCTCCAGACTTCACTGGGGCCAGCAGCCGCCCGACCAAGGGCCCAGGGCCACGGGCTCAGCCGACGATCATGGGCTCGGTGTCCAACCAGCAGTTTGCAGGTTCGAGCAAGGGACTTGGCGGGGCACCTTAAAGTGCAGGGCTCCCAGGAACCACAGAGAAGGGAGGTGGGGAAGTGTCCCCCGGGCTGCCCGCACGACCTCAAGTCGATGCGGCCTCCTCATTGGGGCCATATCTGGACTAAGGAACCCAGGTGTCCCAGTGGCGTGCGCAGCGTGCCCTCGGGGGCGGAGGGAGAGAAGAGGAGGGGCCTGTCTGGCAGTCTGTCCCCCGGCAACGTGTTGTGGGAAGAGGAGCAAAACTTTCGGGGCACCACTAGCCTCGATGTAAGCTTGGGGAGCGCACGCGGGAGGCGGCCAGGACAGGTTTCTTCTCGACCGCGCTGCGTTGCTGCCCACTCCTGGGTGTCCCACCTATGGACCGGGCACCAGCTCTTCCGGGCTGGTCGCTGAGGGGGCTCTCCTAGTCGGTGCCCCCCCCCCCCCAGCTGAGTGCCCGGCCCTCTCAATCTCCAGGTGGCTGCACCAAGGCAGCGGAGAAGGCGCCCGAGGAGGCGCCAGCGGATGCAGCCCGGGCGGCGGACGAGCCGCAGCTGCTGCACGGTGCCGGCATCTGTAAGTGGTTCAACATGCACATGGGGTTCGGCTTCCTGTCCATGACCACCCGCGCCGGGGTCGCGCTTGACCCCCCGGTGGATGTCTTTGTGCACCAGGTGAGACTGATTCTGGTAACTTTGTTGGGGGAAAGGGGATCTAGAAGCACATATGCATGGGTGGATGGATGGGTTGGGCTGTTGGACTGACCATCAGTGCATCCCCTTCTTTGCAGGGGCACCCCAGTTGTGAGTCCCTGTTTACTACGGGGCTAGAGGAAGACAGATTGTCGGCACCCCCTCCCCCTTCCGGGAACCCCTCCGGCTTACCACGTGTCTATTACCTCTTCCCCCTGGGAAGAGGGCAGGGGGCAGGGAGGTGACCCCATGTGGCAGAAACTAAGGTTGTATTGTGCTTGCGGGTGGGGGGAGGGCGAGCCGGCCGGTCAGGGAAGCACATGCCGGGCCTGAGCCGGGCGCCGAGTGCCCAGTCCCTTTAATGTCTAAATGAACCTCACAGGGCCGGAGCGTGGGCCGGGAACTGGGTCCCAGACCCAAGGACATAAACTGAGAAGTCAGCCACGTCTCAGTTTAATGCAGATCTCACCCAGGTGGTCACTCAAAACTCAGTGTCTGGATGCCGAGTTGGTTTGGCATATCCCTTAAAGAATCAAGTGTCTAGAAAGCGCCACCAGAGCATTCCTTACAGTTCAGGACTGGAGCCTTTGCTGTCCAACTCCAGCCAGGAAGGAAAGCGTTTGTAGGCATCCGGGCCTCAACATTCCTGGGCCACGTTAGGACAGTTGCATCGGTGCAACCCCAAGTTCTCAGTTACAGCAGGGCAGCACAGTGGGGGGTGAAATTCAGTGTCGCAGGACAGGGGGTGGAGGGCAGCTGGTCTCTGGACCTATTCTCATCTTGGCATTTATGGCCCCAGACAGCCATTGATTGCTGTCCTAACATTCCTCGCCTCTACCAGGGAGCCAGAGACGTAGGATCTCCCTCCTCCTTGGCTTCCCCTTCCTCAGTATCCTAAAGCCATTCCCAGTGGCCCTGAACTACCGCCTATCCCATAAAGATCATGGGAAGGAAGTTGCTGTGTGTGTCCCTTCCACATTTGGTGGCTTGTGGCTGGATCTGCGAAGAACTATGTAATCCTAGGCTCTGTAGGTTGACACCCTGGCCGGGCAGGGAGGGGTTACTTCTGGGAGGTTGGCTTTAGGAGCCATGGGGGAGGGGAAAGGAGGATGTGGGGATTAAGGGTTGGAGCCTGAGGGATGGCATTCTGGAGGGGGAGGGGTGGGGAAGGGAGATTCTGGGTGGACTGGTTGGAGGCAGCGAGGAAGTTTCTGAACACAACCCTCAGGGAGGAGAGAAGCTAGAGGATGCAGGGAGATAGGGACACACAGTCATTATTACCACCACAGCGACACTGGGGTGCTAGTACATCTGTAGAAAGGGGGATGATTAGCTACCCTCATGCAACCCCTGTGTCCCTGCCCCGCCCCCCAGCTAGTTTCAGGCTGGTGGTTTTGCCCCCTCCTCCCTGTCTCATTTACATATGTGAATGATAACCCACAGGAAGTAATTGTGGGAGAAAGAAGGGAATTGGCCTCTTTAGATCTATTAAATCACTTTATTACAGGAACCAGCTTTGAATGGCCCTCCTCAGCAGGGAGGCAAGTCCCCCCACTCTCCCATTTATCTGATCACAAAGAGATTAAAATCTTTCCTGGTCTGGAGACAACCGGACAGCAACCCCGGTTTTGGGAAGCTGGAATAAAAGTCAGATCCAACATTTGTCTCTCCTCCAAAGCTTACTAAATAGAAAGGGGTGAGGGGAATGCTATCTCCTGGTCTTCTGGACTTTCTTGAAGATAAAACCAAAGGGTTTTTAGCAAGTTATCTTTGGGCCAGCCAATTTATCCTTAGGTTTGAGCTCAACGGCAAAGCTACTAGATGGCATGCAAGAGGCCAGAGACTTCCAAGATGGACTAGATAAGAGACATTCTGGAGGAGCAGGTTTTGGGATTTCCAGAGATCCACAACTGAATAACTTAGCAAAAAGAAGCTAACCTGGAATAAAGAAAAAGAACTTGTCTCCCCAATCCTCGGTCCTCCAGCCATAGGGCTAGACCAGATCCCAACTTAGCAGTGAGCTAAGTTAGTGATTTAAAATCTCTAGAATTAATGGCAGAGGAATTGTGTAAGTGCAGGTTAATCCCTATGAATTCTTTACTGGGAGAGTGAAGTGTTTCTGAAGTAGAGGTGGTAAGAAATCTTTAACAAAATGTTTCATTTAGTCACTAGTGGTTACCCCTGGAGGTGAGGAGTAGGGTGATAAGAAGGATAATTGTTGTAATACAACATTTCCCATGACAGGGCATGAAGGAGCAAAAAAAAAAAAAACCTTCAAAATATTTTCTTTTTCTCTTCCAAAGTTGGGCTTGTAAGGTTCTCAGTGCCTTCTTCCAATCTAAATACACTCCTCCCAGGAGTAGTATGAGAAAAAGCACACTCCACCCCAAAGAAAATGCCCATAAAGCAAAATGATTTCCATACCACTCATTTTATTCAGTGACAGGTCTTTAAACTTATAAATCTTTGGCTCTGGAATTAGGGAAATTTTCATGTTATAATAATGACATTGCCAGCCTCTAACTTGGCACTACTGACATTGAGCAGGTTAATTCCTCATTCTAGAAAGGTATAGAATGTCCAGCACTGTTCCATAGAAGCCAGTTAGTTGTATCTTTCAGTTGTGATAACCAAAATGTTTCCAGATAATTACCAAATGTCCCAAGAGGCAAAATCAGAGACAGAGAAACTGTCACATAGAAAAAGCTGGAACTAGAAAGAGCTACAACTGGGTTTTGCTTTTGTTTTACCATGAGTGCTAGAATCCCTTTGGCCATTTTAACAGTTTTGGCTTCACTCTACTTAATGTGGTTCAAAACCCAAACTACTAAGATTTGTAGACATTTGGAAATCAAAATTGTCCAGTTTTTCCGTTGTAGCTCCTCAGAACTCGGATGAGTTAAAATGCTTTCTGGCTAAAATACTCTTCTGGATGAAGTCTTGGAAACTAAAAGAAAAGCCCATAGATGATTAAGGAAACAAGTTGGATTAAGAGAAAGTTTTTTCAATATTGAGACAGAAATTGAAGCTGCAGTTTGCTTTGAAGCCACGTGGCCTGCTGCTTTTTCTGCAGGAGATGAGCCAGGAAGAGCAAAAGCAAGCACCTGAGGTCTAGGTGAGGACTGCTGGCTCCAGGCTGGGGATGTACAGGATCTCTTCCACCTGGTTTATAGCACTGCACCTCTTGATTCTCTTCATATCCAGTTACTGATGTTCTGCTTGTCTTATACTCTCCTAACCCCTATGTGAGCCCTTTGGAGAGTGGAACTTAGCTGTGTAGGTAACTTTTTAATATACCTTTCTTCCCCACCCCCAACCGGGGATTGAACTCAGGCCCTTGGGCTTGCCAGGCAAGCACTTACTCTACTGAGCTATATCTCTCCGGCCCCTTAATATACCTTTGTGCTCAAATGAAAAAATAAAGGGTTTTTATCAGAGGTGTGCTAGGAGTAGAACCCAAAACTGGGCAAGCATTCTACTGAGGAGATAACACCTTTCTCTGGACCTTCATTCCCATGTGAATAGGTTGCCCTCTTGGGGAGGGGGAATACTAGGAATCACCTCACACTTGTTGCCAGGCAGGCACTGGGTCACTGAGTTAAATCCCTGGTCTCCTATGTTACTAGGAAAAGGCAGGCTAAATATAAATCTTCTTGATTTCTCATAAAGTTGGTAAAAGAGTTTGATCATTCTGGCACTATGGAATCTTCTGGAGTCCTCTTTCTTTTAAAGGAGACAAAGGCTACACCATCATCCTAAGTAAAGCTTCAAATTCAGGAATCTTCACCCTTGTCCTTAGTGACACTGCTGCCTGGCCTATGAGAGATTGTTTTCCCAAGGCAATTCAGACATTCCTAAACAAACAGTCATTCATGCCCTATCCTATCCTATTGGAATTCCATGATTTTTGGAGAATTTCCCCTAGGTAAAGCTTGTACTTCACTTCTTCCTGCAGGCATGAAAAACCGTTCTGAGTAGTTCCAGTCTGGGACATGGAAAGCATTAGGGGAGGAGGAGACTTGCAAAGTAGTACATAATTTTTAACACAATTTCAGGTTGGGGTTTCTTAATTCAGACAGGAAACCAAAGTCCAAGGAAGTACTGGGTTTCTGGCATAAAATTTAAGGAATTTTTTCATTCCTACCCTGAGCCCCATTAGTGTGGAGGTAGTTGGGCAAGGGGCAGGAAATAAACACCCTATCTCCCTCTCCCTGAGGGTAAAGGAGGAGAAGATGACCCTAGAGGAACTGTGGAGAGAAGGCTGGAGTGTGTTCACAGTTCACTACCTCGGACCTGCCTGGTAGCTCCCTCCGGCTTGTCTTAAGCACTTAGGCAGAGGCACAGCGCCATCTGGTGGCGAGCTGCAGATCGGCGCCAACAGCTGCTGTTGAGGAGAAGCGATGGAGATTGGCTTCCATTCCACTGGCGTTCGGTTCTGGACATCTTCCCCAGCTGCTTGGCACACACACCATTGAGTAAACTGCTTCTGGATGAATGTTCTAATCCCTATGAAACTCTGCCTTCAGGAATGAACTTCTGATAGAGCTCTGACTCCACGGGATTGAGTTAGTAAATTTAACTTTCATGCGCTGCTTTTGACTGCTACAGAGTTTAAAACTGTATGTGACTTGCATGATGTGAGGCTGTGCTAACTAATCGAGCCATACCAATTGCAATCAGCCCGGCTCTTCTCCTATCACTACAGTGCTGGTCAAGGTGCCCTGCGCCTCCTTGTTAAGCTGAATATGGGGATCATACCAATTACCTACCACCCCTTCATCATTTAATAGGAGAGTTAAATTGAGTTATACCATGTAGAGCATTTGGAACACTGCTTAGCCTGTAGTAAGCATCAGTACGTTATTTCTGGTAGTAAACACCTTAGTTTATTCAACAAATACTTGTCCACTGCTAGGAACCTAGAATCAGGGTTAGAGACATACACCGGATAATTTGGAACTGAAATCTTTTGTGTGTCGCCT